GCCTCCGACTCAAATTCAGTCAATACTAGTTTTTTGAATTAAATGCACATCGCATTCAGAGATTTGCTGCTTCTTTTACAGGTTTAATAGAAATTCAAATGTCCTTAATGCCAAATTTGGTACTTTGAAATTAAAGTCCTAAATTAACATAGAAAAAGCTTTTGGGGCTTTTTTGTTGCTGTGGTTGTTTTTTGGGGGTGGGGGTTGTTTTTTGGAGGGTTTTTTTTTTTTTGGGAGGGTTTTTTTTTTTTGGAGGTGCTTTGTTGTTTGTTTGATTTTTTTGACAAAGCAGATTAGAAAATAGAGCCCAGCTCTTACAGAGCAACCAGTTGCTAGGGAAGTAAAATTCAATAATTGTTAAGTTTGATTTCAGTATTAGGTGAATGTGAGTTGCTGTTGCCCTTAAATTGTTATCAGTACACTCAGAGTAAGTGCTTGATCACTTCTAAGTATCTGATTATCCAGGACACTAGCTAAACACTCTGAAGCCACAATTGCCAAGTTATCATCACAAAAACTTACAAAAATAAACTTCAATAGCAAAACCTAAGAAGTTCCAGGTTCAGTTGTGACAACGTTTGATCGTACCTCTATTACAGCAATTTTTTGCACTAAGATACGCACCCAAGATTCAGGTGTTTGAGCTTCTGTAGGCTGCTAATCTGTGTAGGCAGCTCCTCAATCTGGTTGTTGAAAAAGTTGAGCACTTCTATGTTTCTCAGGTCTGCGATGTTTGCTGGCACAGCTGTGGGGAAGTTTTCACAGTGAGAGACTGCAATTAGAGCAAGCTACCCAGACTCTAGATGCTCTGCTAGCACCTGCCTTTTGCTCTGTTTGTACAGTGGTTGACAGCAGAAACAGCATCTAATAGCTATTGTAATAAAAGCCAAGTTATATCAAAAAAGCCTCCTATCTGGAAACTGTTCACGTTGCTGAGAGCAGTCACTTCTTACTCTTCAGAAAACTACCACCAGTACTGTAAGCTATTTTGACTAACAAAGACCACTGCAGAGAGAGACAAGGACAACAAATGCTCTCATAGACTAACAAAGAGGGGCAGGCCGTCCGCCGAGTTCATGTAGCACGCAGGTCTCAAAAGAGACTTGGATTATTTCATTATTTGAATTGAAACAATGAATGATACAAGTAGTTACACCAAGACAATAGTTTTATTAAGGGTCTTTAACATCAAACAAAAAAAAATAATTAATTTTTAGCAATGGCCTACTCTGCTTACTGCTTAAATAATTTAGTATCCGAGCTCTTGTCCATTTAAGATAAAATTTACAAAAAATTAAGTTCAGCCAAGCCCATTTTCAGTTCCCTCCCATGAGCAAATAACTGATCAATACACATACATGGCTACATTGAATTACCAACAAATCAATACCTGGTTATTATCTAGAAACATGAAAAATAAGGCAGAAGCACAATATGAATATGCCTGTGCAGCTGAGGTTAAAAAGATATTCAGATTTGAATCTTTTCCCCCTTAAACTTGGTGAAATTTAAGCAGAGAGCTGAGGGTTACAAAAAAAAGAGACTGGCAAATCGCCTGCACTGAAGCTCGCTCGCACCTGTGTTCTATATTCACCTTGGTTCAGACTCAAACCTGACTGCATCAGGAACCCACACAGCACATTTAAATAACTAGAAGTTTTTATGAGGCCATGATTTTCCTTCATTTGTTGGCATGAGGCAATCTCAGTCTTAAAACAGAGTCAATAATGTTAACAAAGCAGAACATTATAGTATGTCACATTTACTAGATTATAAACCTAATTACATGGTGAACAATAACAGGATCCCTAACAAACACTCTAATTACACTACATAAATATTACTGTTGAGGATCATATTCATTGCTGGAGATTTTTAGCAGACTTTTTTTATAAAGTCATTAAGCTGGGTCTGAACATTCAAAAGACCTCCCTTTGTGGTATTCTCCAACTGGTCCATGCTTATCTGTCACTCAATGATGGCAAGAATTATGTGCCTTCAGAAAGTAAAGGGCAATGTACGGCTACTGTTGTTTGAAATTATTCCCTAACAGAAGTTAACTGAGGATTTTAATTGACATAATTCAGCTGTTTCCAGCCTCAATATTTCACCAGAACAGTAATTACCAGTATTAAAATGTTTTCCTTTCAGAAACTAGACATTATAATTTGACTTTAACGAGATGCAATGGACTGGCAAACAATGTTTCTGCTCTTCTCAAACAGATAGTATACAAGACTAGGAATCTGAAGTACTAGCAAATACAGGTTTTAGTTTAGTCAAAGCCTAAACAATGCTGAGACCAAATGCAATTCTCCTGAAGGTTATACTGTTGATGCAATTGGTAAAACTTGGTCTGAAGGTTTTAGCCTTTTGGACAGTGTAAGAGACTACAGTCTCCTAGGAAAAAAAAACAGTGCAACATCACCAGTTATGCCCAATGTAATGCAGAGCTGTTGTTCGAACACTGGAACAAGAGCCTGATGTTCAGGTGGCCAAACTTACAGAACTGCACATCGGCAATCAAGCTGACGGAAGGTTGGGTAATTCAATTATTCAGGCTGAAAACCACCACAAGATGACCAAAAAATTAAGAAGCTATTATCCAAGATCAAAAGCTATCATCAAAGCCAACTAAAAAAGTCCATCTTGCACCAAGGACAGCACTATCACTACAGACAGGAAGTCCCCAAAACTTTTTTGATCTTGCTGTGAGGCCGCACTACAGAAACCATCAAGCTACAGAGACAATTTATCAGCAGCATCCTCATGCGAGGAAAGCCAGCAATACCTTATATGTGTTTCAGCTGAACCAGTGTCGGTTAACAGGCACCTTACATTTAGTCAGTCCTATGCACAATGGATTCAGTTACCTAACGACCTCCTGCATCCTGGAGTAGCAGCAAAGCTGTTCTGCATTTGTGAACAGACTGCAAGATGGGGATCAGTACCCTCCAAGCAGCCTAACAGAGTCCAAACAATAAGTGACATCAAAGGAAAAATCTGGACCCAGAGCTACCTAGGACTAGCAGCACTGATTTAGTGGATGTATCCTTTCAAACACTTGTCCAAACCAGCTTGTTTCCCCCCTTCAGAATAAATTAATTCTTAAGCTCATATCTCATTTCTGACTTAAACTAGGAGACTGTGGTGGGAGGAAGGATCATTTCAAAGAAGGTGAACAGTCATCTTAAATAAAAAAACCCAAAACACAAAACAAAACAAAACCAAGACAAAACAATAGAAGAAAACTCATGAAACTACCTGGAAAAAGACGACACCTAGACATCAAGACAGGAAGAAAATGGCTTCCAGAGATTTGTTCATGAAGATTACACTTGCAGTGAAGATCACAGCATCAAATAGAACCCTGGTTTCAATGGGTTACTACACAGTTGAAGAGTCTCAAATTCTACCTGTTTATCCCACTTGCAAACATGGTGCAAAACCTCAACTTCCAGTCTCTAGTTTATCAGTTTTTTAATTGTTTTTCTTTTGTCAGGGCACAGGTCTAAGTGTCCCTAGCGACCAATAGGAGCCATGTCCTTGCACGCTGTCTCCTTAGTTTCTGATACATCTGTATAATTCCCACATACTGTATTTCATGTTGTGAATCACACTTAGGATACTTTATCTCATTATTTTCTTCAAGCCATACTAAAAGATTGATGGGTAAGCAGGCTGAGATGAGAAAAAGGCTAAAAATCTAGCAAAGGATTTGGATGAAATACGTTGTCTCTCACCCTGTTAAATCAAAATAAAAAGCCCCAATCCACAATTGCTTTTTTTTTTTTTGTTCAGATGGAGTAGCTGGAAGTATTTTGTGAGAAGGAAAAACAGAAGAGTAGGTCAAGACCAGGCTTGTGGTAGGGGAGAGAGGTCTTTTTCCTGTAACAGTTTATTTTCTGGTTCAACAATTCAGATACATTTGTAATATGAATGAATACTCCCTTGGATTCAAAGAAAAACAGAAGGCCAAAATTAACTCCTGTACTGGTCTTCGAGCTAAATGGCATAGGTGCAGTACCTTCAGGGCTAAAGATCAGCAAGGCTGACCAGGCATACAGTGTTCTATGTTCTGAACTCTACAAAACTAAGTGCATCCTGACTACCATCCCACTGTTATGTTGCAAAATTCTTCCCAGATATATATCAGAATGCCAAATATCAAGAAATTTATGTTCTGGCAACACCAAATTCCACTCGAGTCACCTTCTCACGATGAGCTGTGAGAGCGAACTGTCAGCATTCTGGTTCCATTCACCCACGTATTTACAGTACGATCCACAGTGTCTTAACAACTCTTCTAAGACCATCTGCTGCCCAGTGTCATTAACAACTAAACTCCCCCTCAGCAAATGCTAGTAAAATTTGGCAGCCCAAAGCCTTTACATTCTCCTGTGAAGCTCCAGTCACACCATGAAGCCCCATTCATATTAAGTCTCACTTCACAAGACCAGGAACAACCTCCTTCCCCTTGTTCAATACTGGAAATTGCAGTGATTGACTATGAGAGCTATAGACTTCACCTTGATTTCAAGAGCTAGGTTGAGAGTGAAAGACAGGGTCTACAGGCTGCAAACCAAGGAATAAGAAGACTTTGTTTGTGCTACTGGAAATAAGGATTGGCAACTTGTTATACTCCAAAGCACTGAAAAACAAATGCGCTCTTTTTTGCCCTGAAGTTCGTGGCAATTCTTTAGGCACTAAAATATATTTTCATCAGAGCAGCCTTTCACTCAAGGCAAGTTATTACATTTCATTCCTACACAAGCAGCAGCTGTTAAAAAGTTCTGATATGATTTCCAAAACATACATAAGGAGGATTAAATGCTACTATTCAGCGTATGACTCCACACCTAAGTATCCTCGATCTGGACCTTAGTTCTCTCTCCACATCAAGAACCAGAAACCAACACTAGACATCTATCCTTACTACAGGTCTGATGTTGCCCTCTGATGGAGAACAGATAGTGGGTTAGATTGACCTTTGTCAGAGACAGCTATCATGCAGAGCAACATGCTAACAACATTTAAATCAGTTAAAGCATCTTGGAGTTAAGGGTCTCAGATGTAACCCCTTCTCGTAAAGCAGGAAGTCAAGTGGTACTCGTACCACTACCTAGAACTGACATCTAGATTCAGCTCCTTTTGTATATCCAACCTCTGACAAAGAAGGAAGAACACCAAAAATGGAAGAGGAGAAAAGGAGGCACATTTTTTTCCCCTCCAGTTCCATTCTGCCACTCTTTAGCCATTCTTCTTGGTTTCAATACAATTCCTCTTGCGGTAGCAGAGCCCTTCAAACAGCTGAAAATGCACAGGCTTCAGAAAAATCTCTACTTCTGCAAATGATCTCCAGGATTATTTCTCTTAAAGCTTCTATGAAGCACTTGAAAACAACAGGAATCCTCGTAACTTTAAAAGCAAACAAACTCAGGTGTTTGCAATATTAAGTCTCCATCTGCTTTTCATTGAAAAGATGCAATCTAGTCCTGTTTTTGTATTTAACAGGGATCAACATTAAATCAATCATTTCTGAAGACACTCAATAAAAGATATCCATATCAAAATTTCCTTTACAATTTAAAATTAAAATATAAAACATTTTAGACAAGGAAGCTCAGACAAAAAACATGACAAGAGTCAATAAACTACCCAACTGGACAACTGAAATGATTTGCTAAAAATATAAGTCTCCATGACAGGAACACACGGTACATAAACTGGGCATTTCAGTTCATT